CTCACCCTGTATATGAGGAATATTTTATTTCTAGTCGTTTAAAAGAAAAAAGTTTTGAATGAAAATATAAAAATTTGTTCTTCGGATTAGAACAGCGGCGCCTAGATGGCGTTAAAGTTTGTTTATAGTTACCTGCGAGCAGTGCTGAACTGCTGAGCGGTGCTGAATGCTGTCGAAGTCGAGGCAAATTTTCTCGGCGGTGCTGAAATCCAAGAGAATATTTTCGCAGACATGGATAAACTGTCGAAGCCGCAGATCATCAGTCACATCGAGAAATCGGTAGATTATTCTCTGTTTGATGCCAAGTGGATACCATGCAGCGCAAAGTTTGTGGTTATGGGCTCTCGGCCTCGTGGTACCGGCATTATACAGATTTACGAGGTGTCCAGCGGTGAATTGAAGCTCGTCAAGGATATAGAGAGGTCCAACCAGATGAAATGCGGAACATTCAAAGCTTCCAGTCTTCGCGATAGATACTTAGCTACTGGTGATTTCAAGGTTTCTCCTACTCTAAGAAATTTCATTACGTTCTTTCACAATTTTATGAAATTTGGTTTCAAGTTACTGCCCATACAGCACCAGAGCTTTCAGAAACATTTCAGAAACATTGCAACATTGCAACGAAGTTTTCTGAAATGTTTCTGAAAGCTTCGGTGCTGTACGGATGGCGATATATAATCACTTGTCTTTTACAAGTTCGTTTAATTCGTAAACCACGAAAGCTAACTTTGCAGGGCAAACTGAATATCTACAATTTGGAGGATCCTTCGATACCGGTGTATTCAGCTAACGCTCACACGCAGATTATAAATGCCATTGACGGGATAGCAGGTGCTAGCGTAGGGTGCGGAGCACCAGAATTGGTCACTGGATCCAGAGATGGGAGTGTAAAAGTGTGGGATCCTAGGCAAAAAGACCGACCGGTTGCAATTATGGAACCTAAGGAAGGAGAGAGTCGGCGGGACTGTTGGTCAGTTGGATTCGGCAATTCCTACAATTCCGAGGAAAGGGTGGTGGCAGCGGGCTACGATAACGGAGACGTTAAAATGTTCGACTTACGGGCTATGTCTCTGAGATGGGAAAGTAATTTGAAAAATGGAGTTTGCGGTCTCGAATTCGACAGGAAGGACATTCCCATGAATAAACTAGTCGCTACTACGCTAGAATCTAAATTTTATCTCTTTGACTTGAAGACTCAACATCCTAAGAAAGGTTTTCCTTATCTTGTCGAAAAGGTATTAGCTGAAGTAAAAATTTATATTTCTCCCCCTCTCTCACTCTATAAATATGTATATGTATGTATGATTTTAGGCGCACAAATCAACGGTGTGGCTGGTTAAGCATTTGCCGCAAAACCGTGAATTATTCGCAACGTGCGGCGGTGGAGGAACAATCTGTCTTTGGAAATAGTAAATTTATATTCAGATTTTTAGACTACAGTTGCATTACGTCCTGAAGATGCTTGAAAATTGACTGTTGCTTTGACGTATTGTTTTGCAGCAATTATCCAGAGAAAAGGAGAACTACGGACGCCGACGGGATCGAGCAAGGAGTTGTGGGCAGCGTCAGTTTGCTGCAGAACTGCACGCTCTCGTCGCAACCTATTAGTTCCTTGGATTGGAGCCCGGACAAGCAAGGGCTTGCTGTCTGCACATCGTTTGATCAATGCTTACGCGTTATCATCACTACGAAACTGAACACGTATTGATTAAACAACGAACAGTTCGAAACTTGTAAATAAGCCTGTACTACGGCAGAGGCAGTGTTCATAGTTTTACTTTGTACGCTTAAGATAGTTCTTAATAAACAAGTTATGTTTTCTATGCAACTTTGTCAAATAACGATACAGTTCAACGGTGAGAAATAAGAAAACGCGGTTGAAACTCGTTTGTTCGGATCTCGATGTTACGATTGAATTCGAGACTTCGATCTCTCGTTCGCGAGCGCAAGGTGCATTATGCAATCGCGAGCAGACGAGAGGCGAATTATATGTCATTGGGCCAATCTATTTAGGATCGGACCCTTATTAAGCATCGGCCATCTTGCGCATGATCGTGAATGTTACGCAATATCGCGTACGACGTCCGCCATTTGAGATGCGTTCGGCCCACGCGTTGTCACTTGCACCTCCATTGCGTCGCGCGAGGGCGCAGCATCGCAAGCGCGCAGAGCAAGGTCAGGAATACCGCGATTTTAATTACATAAATTAGCCGTCGCAGAGTCAATCTCTCGTATACGTCGATGCTATCGGATCCCCCAGCTTCCCTCTTCCCAAGCAATGTAATTCTTTCGCATCGAATAAGTCTAAATATATACCTTGAATTCATCTCGAATACACGGATTAGGAATTGCAGAAAAGTTGAGCTAAAATAATCGCGCCTAACTCGCGTTCTAACATTGCAATTCACCTTTAACTGAATTCTTTCTCTTCCCGTTTCTTAATTTTCTTCTATTCTTACCGAGATATTGCGTTCATTCTTATCTTTCGCGGCAACACAATATTTGGCACCGCGCTAATTTTCAAGAGAATTTCGTATCTCGGGCATGTAGTAAAATTCTTCGTCTACTCGACATACAAGGCGTATCGATCGAAGATCAAAAGAAATATATCGCTATCCTGGAAGCGTACCAAGTTTCGGTTGGCTAATTACATAGCAGAATATACGATACGAGTATTTACAAGAGCGTATGTATACGAATACGTCGACAAATAGAGAAGTGTGCAGCAATACCTGGTTCCTATTTTTGTTTCTCGATGGCGCACTTCGTGATGCACTTTGCGGCGATTTGGTCAACATCCAAGATTTGCATTGCTCCTCCTATCCCAACTGGTATAATCACCACGAGTAAATCTTAAATGGAAAGATCAGTCCTCAGCACCTCTCGTTAAATATCAATTATATGTATCGATAAGTATTTTTACTAAAGATTTTCATTTTAATTGTATCTTGTCTTTCAATTCCTACCTGACAAGCGATTATTGTTAACAGCTTGAAGCAATCTTTCCATTTAAGAATTATTCCACAATTAAATTATTGCTTCACATTTAGCAACCTGCAACTGACGACGCTGGAATAACAGGGATTGGTAAATAAAAGAATTCCAAGGTGAAAAATATTTTTATTCCTCTTAAGCTCTAGTGGCAATCGTGAGACGATAAGCTCAGGTAACTTGATAATTTCCTTTAAATATAAAATCAAGCAAACAGCTTAAAGTCCCGTCCAAGTAAATCTTCAAAGAAACTTTCGTGTAAATACAATAAATTCATATTACTGTAAAAAAAATGATAAATTGTATAATAATTGGTATGTTTAATATTGTACACATGTTAAGATATGAAGTGCGAGTTTCTATTTTCGGTAATGGATACATTTGTTGAAAGAATTTTTTAATAATGTAGAATGGCAATGATAGGAAAAATCAAAATGCAAGTTTCTTCATTAATAAATACATATGTTGGTCTATCTCGAAACCGTGCAAATTGTTCGCATCGCCCTGTAGCCTCATCAGCAGACCTCCAAAAGATACGTAGGCTGATCTGAAAGCAAAACGAAAAACTGGTAAGTTGCAAATTTGTATGGTCCTAGATACTCGAAGCGCCACTAGCCTTGTACATAAAACACTTGATTGCACGCTACGATACATTCTGCGACTTGACAGTACAACTTTAAGACTTATCACCTAAAAGTAAGCCCATAATTGCCCGGCATTTGTTTCTTCTTGCGATTCGCACCGACTTCTTAAGTATTGATATACATATAGTTAAGAAACACTTTGTATAATACGGAAAATGGAAAGGTTTTTAAACGACAGGTTCTGAACTTGGCGGGAAAGAAAGGGGGAAGGTTGAGCATTAATATATTTCTGTCATTAAATTTCACGCGGTGGAACGATTCTCATGTTCAAAAGACCTTTCCATGTTCTCAAAGCCGTCAATAATATTTTGTCCTGGTAGCAGCAGATTTTGCAACCGTCATAATTGCAGTGCCGATAGCGGTCGTGTATATAGATTGACCACACAACCAGCTAACCACACTGCCAACATGCTGATCGCCAAAAGAGTCCTTCCTTTAAACGATTACAAAAGAAGTTGTATCTGCACCGATGAGCAGCCTCCGATTACTCCGTTCTTCAAGCTCGACTGATGATCACTTTCTTCCTCCGTGTCACTTCCGTTTCATTTACTTTGTTGGCATGTACGTACGGAAAATCAAGACTTCGCAACAGTACAACGTTGTTTCGATGCATTAGTAATATAATAATCATTTAAAATTGTATTTTATTAAATCATCAGATAAATTGCGGATAATCGAAACAACCTGAGATCACAAATTAATCATGGCACAATGAAATCTGCGTATCAATTTATGTGGAGTAATATTAATCACACGCCGAAATTATCGGCCGCGCATATTCCACAGTGCGACAGCAATGAACTTCTTTCCATTACTTGACAATCAATTGGCCACTTACATAACTGCTATGACATCTTGGAACCGGGCATTCCATGACTTAAAAGTATACGCAAGAAATGACATGCTAACTGCAGTGCATCGTAGAATTTTTGGGTTCCAACATTAAACGTATCCAATTGGGCATTCTATGAAATTTGTGATGCCAATGTGCATATATACAGTCGCGAAAACGCACATTTAAATTTCGCTCTACAAGAGACGAGGGAGGGGGAGAGGGGGGGAAGGAAGCGCGAATACCGAAGGCAATATTCGGGGCACACGTGTTGGGAAGTTTCTCGCTCTATCGATTGACCTTGTCTCTGATAATACCTCGAATCTCTGGCTCTAAGAGGCACTCCGCTTTCCTATAAGTCAATTATTTTTAACCAAGTTCGAGCTTCCGCTTACGTTCCGACTCCACTTTCCTCTGCCTCTTCTCTTCGCGTAAGAAGCTTCAACAGATACCGCGCGTTTCTAATTTACATAATAGGTAACTTAGCCAAGTTACAAATGCAACACTGCATAATTTATCTGTACAAATCTTAATTTCCGTTCGTTAATACTTGAAGATTACAAAAGCGTAATAATTTTTCGTGTCTTCTCCACTTCAAGTTTTTAAGCTATGTCATACGAGTATGCAAATAAACTCTTGAAATGATCACCTAAAAATTTTACGTTTTTATCCCTCACGAAGGCACACATCTGCTTCTTTTTCTGACAATACTTTCGATTAAATATTTACTTTCGCGTAGTTAAAAAGATGTTTTGCTCCGATAAGCAATTTGACAGCTCGTTGAGCGACTTGACTTCTTTTTGTATCTATGAACCTATCAAATGTGATCGACTGCACAGGTAAGATGAATGAAAATACATGAAGTAAAAAGAATAAACTCCAACTGAAGTTATTGAACTCCTCTTACAAATAAGCAATTTAATTTTGAATCAATGTCTAATAGTTTTTTTTTTATATTAATAATAACGTTCGCAGAGATAAGTAAGATTCGATACATTGTTAAATAATTCTGACACCGCGAATGCTTCTTCTTATTTTATATCATCTAGATGCTACAGGAAAGAGAGAATTTTCAGAACTGCATAATTTATTTATATCTACATAAGTTAATCACTAATAAAGGCGCTGGTGAAATTAAATGAAAAACGCATTAGATGATTTTTATTGCCATTTGATACAACAATTATTGATAATGATCCTATGTATAAGCAATGTGTATGCATATATATATATATGTATATTTGTGTGCGCGCAAATTGTTACGTATATGCGAGGCTTTGTTACATGAAACGAGTATGCAACAAGCACACCTCCATTAACAAATCCCTCGTCACGAACGGTCGAACGCTATTACACATTTATTCATGAGAGAACTGCCATTGCCGATGATATCGTGAATTGAAAAAAAAAGAGAGCATTTATCAATAGGGCGTGCATTCGTTCGTTTAATTGCATCCCTTCCACCGCGAGATATTGTATCGGATTGAATAGAAAGTAGGGACTGTGGGGTGCAAAGCGGCAATGACAGTTTTTAGCAGGATTTATTTATTGCAGCACGTACACGCATTGTGCAGTTTTCGACTTTCCATTCTGCAGAATAGCTTCTCTACAGAACCACTTCGCGCCGACTGTACAAAACTCATATCGCCCATTCACCGATTACCTAAAGTTTAAACTTACGCAATAAACTTAAAACTGTATTACATTATATCGTCAATTATTGTTCGAGACAGATGTGGTGTTCCTGAGTGAGAATTGCGATTACATCATCGATGTTTCGGAAACACGTGCAAATTAACTAAATTATTATTTGTCTCCAGAGAAATACCTGCGAATAATTCCTAAGTTATGACGCATATTTCGCCGTTATTCGTTATAATCGTAATTCAAACAGAGAGACCTGGCGAAAAATAATAGATTTACGTATTTTTCTTTGTTTTGCACTCCTTACAGCTAGTTACAGGCAGACACTTGATATAAATTCCACCACAATAATATCACTTACTCCCAATAGAATAAAAGTAATATTTAAATCAGAGAGATGAAAACCACAATTGAATTGTAAAATATTGAAAATCGCTAGAATCGTTGAGTATCTCATTAAAACGCAATTCTTCAAACTTTAATTCTTATTGTAAAATATGAATGCAATTGGATCTGAAACTGCTGAGAGATTCGAGGATCTTTTCTCTGATTTAAATTTCCTCTCAAATATCCGGGATTGTTACTGCAGGGGGTCCCGGGAATCCTTTATATCTATATATATATAATGTACATCGAGATATGCACGATATAACCATCCCAAGCTTTGCAAGTTTCAGGATAATCCAGGACGATACGTGCACTCTTGCTTCCAATGGAGATACCGCGGAGTCCGGTATCGATGTCGACTTTTTTAATTGAAGCATGCAGCACACTTATCCATATTATAACGCCACAAAGCTGACGTCCTGTCACAAGATCGCTGATGGCGGCGACAGAAGAGATGTCGTACCAGATAGTGCATTTACAGTATTTAGGGCCCGTGTAAACGCGCATCTGGCACGAGCCCCAACTGCCCTGTAATCTCGTATTGGCTCGCTTCCGCTTCACTCGCTCTCATGCTCTTTTTGCTCGTAATCTTCGCAGTCTACCCCCCCCCCTTTATCTGCTTTCCGATTTACCCTTCCTCGTAATTGCAATATCTCCTTTACCTCTTATGATATTAGTAAAATATCTCATTACTTGGTAATATTAAATTTGTCGCTAATCGCAATTAATCGTGTGTACGTGTGTGCGTGTGTGTGTGTGTGTGTGTGTGTGTTAAAAATGTAAACACTTATGTAATGACGTTCGAGTCACGCGATTATCTCCGACGTATAATTAGGTCTTCACTTGACGATATAATCGAAATGAAACGTGATAGCGATGATAATCGCGACTGTCGTACTCGGTAAACTTGAGTAGGCGACCGAAAATTCTTCTAGAAATTTCCTCGAGACGAAACGGTAAAAACGACGACAATGAGTTAAGGGTTTCTCGGGCGCGTCGCGCCGTCCAGAAGGATGTCAGCTGATGCTATTTTCCCCTCGAAACGCGAAACGAGAAGAGGACGACGCTGCTAATAATAGCAGCCACTATCCCCGGTGCCACGACGCTCCGGCGTCGGGACGCGTCTCCTCGTCGTCGTGCTAGCGCGATTCGTTAATGCACACTGGCGGAGCTGGTGCACCGTCTTCTCAATGCTTTTAGACAGCTAATCCTTTCATAGACGCTCGCAGACATTGCCGGCGCGTCCCAAGGATATTACAAGTCACCGATGTTACCGTGTGATAACTTTTCAGTTGGAGAGAAACGTCTCATTATTTCATTTGTTTAATCTTCACATTCCCGAGACGTTCCATCAAGATAATGTATTATCGCGATTACGATTATTACAGGCCAATCCGGACGATAATTTCTTGTTACATTTAGAAAAATGCAGTTAAGACTCGAGTCATAGAAACAATCACTGCACCGCGTCTACAGTTCCTACTATTCCTTATACACCTATGTCGGCACAAAATAATTCACCAGCATAAATAAACCTGACAACACGTTTGTTTTCTATTTTCTGACTGTAAACCCAATTGATTTACTTACTACGAGAACTCGCGGTTATACGCGCTTCAACAGATTTAGTATCGAAGAGGAGAAGGATGCGCCGCGCGATAAACAGACGATTGACCGTCGTCGATTATTTTCTAACTCGATCGTGAGTTTCCACAATGATGCGGCAGCACATAGAATTGTCGGATTATCATGCTATTCACGTGCGAGCGTTCGCTACCGATTTCAATTTGAGATTCGTCGAACAAACGTATTGTCTTGTTGCACAATTCGTCCGGAGTTTCGTATCAGCGTTATACGATCAGTACTGAACGTTCGGTATCGCGAGAAATTGGAACAATCCGCAATCTCGTTTCACGGTTTTGGGATTACAGGAGGAAGGTTGTCCTGCTCGTTCCCCAATACAAGACACTCGCCCTTTTAATCTTCTAGGCCGCGGAGGAGGCATCGGTTTTTTGCTCGAACTCTGAGGCACGCGATCGT